GGCGGTCCAAGATCCATAGAACGTCCACAGTCGATCGCACCAGGCTTGTGTCCCAGATGGGGTCGTTCATCGTTGACAGTGTCATGATGATTAGGATGCTCCGCGCGAGATAGTTGAAGAAAGGGAATGAAATCCCGATATAGTCGTCGGTGGATGATATCTGGAAGAAGCTATCTAGTGCTGATCTGGCGGTTTCGAGACATGCGTGGAGTCCTTCGAGTCTTTGTAGGTCTGGGATGTCTTGCTTTTTTGAGAGGACGAGGCCGTGGATGCTCAATTCGGTGTAGTACGTCGACGCACGGAATAGGCCTGTTCAGCATGAGCCAAAGTCCTGACGATGGTATAATCGGTGATGTACTCACTATTATGTTGCAAGTCAGGTGTTATACTCTGCTTGACCTCGTTGACCTTCCTCTGCAAAGCAGTAAGGTGAAACGCTGCCGGAACGGCCGTGGACACAATTCGGATATGCTCCGCCTCTCTTGCAATACGATGCAGTCGGACTTGATGAGCAAATACTTCGTCAAGCGGCGTTTCACATTTCCGAGTCAGAGCATCGAGACATTCTTCCATATGTGACGTCCATTGCATTGGTTGGATGTTGTCAAGACATGTCGATACACTGGCTGCGTCAGCAATAATCACATGGAGGCGTGCAATAGACTTACATGGAGCTCAAGATAAAACATGCTAGGACTGCTCGCTGCTCCTCGAGCGTCCGCGTTGGTGCCCTCGATGAGGCGCAGCCTCCGAGTCCGGCAGTAAGTACATTAGAATCATCAGGGAGTGGCTTGTTAAGACGCAATTCGTAAACAACCGTTATAGCGAGCTGAGTAAACCGCGGTAGTCCCATTGCGGTGTCGTGTAGTAAGTGATCGTAGCCCCAGGCTAGAACTGTCAAAAGACCTAGCAGAAGATCAAGGTTCACTGCACCCGGATCACTAGAAAGGAACATTCTTTCCGTAGCAATCTTTCTAATCTTCTCCCCTAAGGCGAGCTTGGTCGGTATTGACGGACAAGTCACCGCCATAATGCAGAGGAACAAAAAAGGCCGCTCCTGACGCATCCATTGCACGTCTCCGGGAAGATGTAGAAAGGGAAAATACTGAAGCATGTGAGTGCGGAATATGTCTAGCGACTCTTCCGGTGAAGACTCCAAGCTGTCCGAACTAGATGTCGATGCTGCAGGGATATTATAATCTCCATATATAGTAGGAGAGCTGGAATCAGATGCTGGAGTAGAAAGAGAGTTCCTAACAGAGCTGCTAGAAGTGCTTCGTGGGTTTTGTGGCTGAAGAGATGACACTAGCTCGTCCAGCTTGCCTTCTAGCTGAGCAATGCGCGCGGCAGTATTGTTCTTCTGGGACTGCATCGCTCTGGTTGAGGTGCCTCGCAGACACGTCTTGTTCAGCCGATAACATCTCTCACAACCCTGACTTCCTGGTCGGTCAACACATTTGCATTTGCATTTGGAGCAATTTAGACAAGCCTGTTCGCCCGACTTGGTAAGCAAGATGTAGATAGTGGGTGAGCTGAACATACCCGTCCGTATGACTGAGGGGCCATTCTGAGCGTATAATCGTGGCTTAGACACGATAATAAATCCACCGCCAATGGAAATATTGTATATGGTTTGTATCACAGAATAGAAGTAGTAAAGAAGGGTGAGAGTGATGGACTGGTCTGCTCTCATGATTATCGGGGTTCGGCAACGCCGGATACCGATACACTAGGTGTGCCGGAGATACCCGACTCATAGATAATGTAATGCAATTTCGAGAATCTACTTAATGATAATTTATCTGGGGAATATTTAAATTGCCATGTATTATGATAATTCTCTAGGGAGGAATGAAGCTAGAATCTCACAAATAGCAGTTGTCCCTGGTTGTATGCGGACTCGGTGAATCGGGGTTCGGAGACCGATCCCGGTACTAGTTATATGGGATGAGTCACGGGAGCAGAAGTTTAGTTATCAAGACGGGAATACAAGCCAGGGCCAAGGAAGATTAAGCATATGTAAACTCATCTAGTTGATGTGATGTGTCATTTACAGTGTCCACAATACTCAGGTTGGAGGGCTTTCCCGCCACATCCCCTTCTAAGCCCTTCAGCATACCTAAAGTGCTTGAATTGCAAAAGTAGAGGCTAAAAACAACATGACAGTCTGGCTATTGATATGGCATTCGCCAGTAAGCTAAGCATTACAAATACAACAGGCAAACTTTCCTATTCAAGCCGGTGTGACAGACACCTTCGTTCCATTCCGTGAGCACAGAGTCAAGGTCAATGCCTCCTTCCACGGTCCTGGATCCTGGCTCTTCAAGATCCGAAATTCTTGGGCCATGCGAACAGTGACATATCCGGCCTCAGTCAGCGCATACTGCTGACCGAGGCAAATGCGTGGACCTCCATTGAAGGGAAGGTACTCCCAGCGAGGCTGCAATTGTCCATTCTCCCAGCGCTCCGGGCGGAAAACATCTGCATCGGCTCCATAGATATCTTTCCGCCGGTGCATCGCATATACATTGTACTCAATTGTGGACCCTTCGGGCATGAAGACCGGCGAGCGACCATCCTTGCCTCCTCCCTTCGGCAATACTGTATCTCTCAGTGCAATGCGCCCGTTTACTGGTACAACTGGATGCAACCGTAATGCTGATGGATTGTCAGAGATAAGATACGGGGCAAAATCACAGCAGCGGTTTACTCACATTCATTCATGCAACATCGGAGATACTTCAGGTTACGAAGCTCCTCATACGAGGGCAATCGGCCCTCCAAGGTAGCTACTTCCTGGCGCAGCTTGTCCCAGACTTCTGGGTGCTTAGCTAACATGAAGAACATGTTGCTCAATAGGCCGGCAGTAGTGTCACGGCCGGCAAGCAGAACGTTCATGAGCTCGTCCAAAATGCGGCGTTTATCAGACGTGCGTCGTGCCAATTCATGAGAGAAGATATACCTCTCATGCTTTGTCTCTGAAGTTCCATCGGCTCCCTCGGACTGAGCTGCTTGGACTGCCTCGTCGACGAACCGCGCAGCAAAGTCCCGGCATAGACGATAACATTTATCTGCCTTCTTGTGAGGGAAGATTCTGCCTAATGGGCCGAGAATGAAACGCAATGTAATGGCCTCCTGGGAGTAGTTGAAGGCCTGAGCAAAGCCAAGCTCCGACTGGTCCATCTTCAGGCTGGCGACCGATTGACCGAACAGGAATGCAGTGGCTGAATCGATAGTGTAGCGAAAGAAGAGATCCTGCAGGTCCACTACCGTCACTCCATCACGAGGAATCCGGGCAAAGAGGTCGGGGATTAATTCTTCGAACATTGCCAGATCCGCAACCTGGTCGCGGGTGAAGCTGGGCCGGATGAGGGCACGAGACGTAGCCCAGTGCTCACCATCTGTGTCAAAAATACCTTTACCGAGAAGCGGTTCAAAATGCGGGAGACGGTGACCCAGACCCCAATCCTTGAAACTTGTTGACAAGACCGATTTTACATTCTCCGGCTCCATAGTGAAGACTCTGTAGTGCCCCAGCAGTAATTTCCAGGCGTATGTATCCCCATAGAGACGGTAGCGCTCAGCGTTTTTCTCCAGGGAAACGTACTCTCGAAAATAGCGAACGGAGGTCCAGATTTGATCGAGTGCTAGGAAAGGATCCTTGTTAACACTGGGCGGTTCCTGGCAGCCATGGCGGCGTGCAAATTCGCGGCGAATAAAATAGCGACGGACCCTGGAGGTGACGAATGTAAGTGCTGCCAGGACCGTTAGCAGCAGGAGTAGCTGGTTGGTGTGGGAGTTGAACAACAACCCCATGGTGGAATATTCGGCCGATACGACGGTGGGGTGTTAGTTGAATAGAGTACAGGGAACGGGCGGAGATGAGGGGTTAAATGTCAGCTACTGAAAAAGTTATACCCCCTAGCATCGCGCCTTCCGAGATTCCAGACCTACAGTTCCTGACTAGTGCTACGGAGGATATACATCAACGATCCACGGTAGCTTCGGTCACACGGACTCCTCGGTTCCCGAGCCTACAGCTGACCTGACCCGTAGTATTGATTGTCTTCAAAAGCATACCTACATTTAGTAACTAAGAGTAACTGAAGGATCTTAGGAAGTATGTTAGTTACAGACCGAAAGCTCCATTTGTAGATCGGGTGAGCACAAAAGTACTGTACTCGGTCATGTTCTGCATATTTCGTTCAACATTATATTTATATTTACTTTTAGTAGTTCTCAATAGTTGGGAAAAGAAATTCTCTTGCATGTAGATATCCTAAAAATCGTCTTAACTCTCCAGTCTATTTAGTAATGCCAACCTTGGGGGACCGTAAGCATGGATTATGGTGAATATAGCATTACAGAGTACACTGTGTACGGTACCATCATATGCTGGAGGCCTTATTGAGTTAAAACAGATGTGGCGAAGAGATTGCATAAGCTGGGTTGTGGGCATCCCTTAGTAATTTCTTGGAGAGATAGCCAGGTTTCCAAGATTTCCGAGATAACGAACCCACCCTAGTCAATCTAGATTATATATACTCCGTAGATGGCTGGCTATGCGGGGAAACCGAATCACCAATTCTTAGGCCCCCCGTCAATGAAAGTTGCCAGAAACGGCGATACACGATCGAGACTTCGATTCGTATTCGTGTAGTGGCTGCTGAAGAGCTAGGTAACCAAAGTATTTGCACAATTCAGTGTAAGACATTGTCTTACTCCAGCCATTTTCTGAGGTCAGAAGCTTAATCATGGAGCAAGTTATAACTAGTTAAAGGGAAAGAAAGCAGCATGTGATCTGACATGCCGGCAACCCAAATAATCCGAGTCCGGCGGTCAGCGGCAGGCGGTGAGGTGGAGGAAGCAACGGGAACCATGGTTGCCATGAGCTACCGCCTGTTGTGTCTGCCGCGAACCATGGGAGCGAGCGGCTGCCGACCACCGGATGCGCGACGGGCTGGTCCTTGAATGGAGGAGTCCCTGGTAGATAGCCTCAGCTCCCCCGTTGATTGCTCCTCCATCCCTCCGCTCTCCAAGGTCGGTTCACTCGAATTTGTTCGGCTCAGCGTGTATATCTTGTATCCACAGGATTAATTCAGCTGGCTGGCTGTGCGGGTTGCCCCTTGTGTGCTGAGTTGTGTCTGTGTGTGTGGTCCCTGCTCCCCTTTTTCCTCTTTCTATTTTTCTCTCTCCACTTTTCACGTCGTCGCTGTCTCATCCGTGGAGGAGACCTCCTGCACGATAACCATGGAGGACGACATGTCAGGTCATTATCAGATGCTGGAGGAGCTGGGAAGTGAGTGGTCCTGCGGAATGTGTCAGTGGAGGCAATCGCATCGGGAACTGACCGTTTGCACCTGCAGGTGGAAGTTTTGGAACGGTGTACAAGGCCATTGAAAAGGCTACCGGAGAGATTGTGGCGGTTAAACATGTGCGTGTGACTCTGCATGGCCTTTTTGCCCGGTGAACGTATCCATTAATTGACATGCGCCCGCTGCTACAGATCGATCTCGAATCCAGTGAAGATGATATCCAAGAAATCCAGCAGGAAATCTCCGTCCTCGCTACCTGTGCGAGCCAATTCGTGACGCAATACAAGGCGAGTTTTCTGAGAGGTCATAAGCTGTGGATTGTGATGGAGTATCTCGGTGGTGGATCCTGTCTGGACCTGGTAATCCATGAGTGACCTGTCGAATCTGGGTGCGCTTCGCTAACCACTTCTAGCTGAAACCCGGCGTTTTTAACGAAGCCCACGTCGCCATTATTTGCCAGCAACTGCTGCTGGGTCTGGATTATCTGCACAGCGAAGGCAAGATCCACCGCGACATTAAAGCCGCCAATGTACTTCTGTCGCATACCGGAAAGGTCAAGCTGGCGGATTTCGGCGTGGCCGCACAGTTAATCAATATCAAGTCTCAACGCAACACCTTTGTCGGCACGCCGTTCTGGATGGCGCCCGAAGTGATCCAGCAGGCTGGATACGACTACAAAGCGGATATCTGGTCCCTAGGTATTACAGCGATCGAGATGATCAACGGCGAGCCGCCACACGCCAGCACTCACCCCATGAAAGTGCTCTTTTTGATCCCCAAGGAACCTGCCCCCCGCTTGCAAGGCGACGACTATAGCAACACCTTCAAGGACTTTATTGCACAATGCTTGACCAAGGACCCCGACCGAAGGCCGAGCGCCAAGGAGCTTTTGAGACACAAGTTCATCCGCAATGCGGGGAAAACGGAGGCTTTACAGGAGCTGATTCACCGGAGGCAGGACTGGGATGCTGGTCGGGGTGTGACGCACAAAGTGAAGTATTATGCAGAGTCTCTGTATGTGGCCCGCCCCCGAACACACATCACATCCGCTAACTACTTTGCTGCAGCAATACGATTCGAAACCTGGATGATGATGACGGATGGGTCTTTGATACCGTGAAAGCTCCCACGATGGCTATCCGCGAAGAGCCCGACGACTTTGAGAACGAGCCGGAACCCCAGGACTGGGTGTTTGATGAAGCCTCCGAGCTGATGGACGACTTGCACATCTCTAGCCCACCTATTCCACCGAAGCATGCAACGAATACCGCCGTCAGACGGGCACCGGCCCCCGAACGCAGTCCATCCTTGCGGCGTGCCAAGCGACGATCCAGCGGGGTGAAGCAACCTCTGGGGGTGGACATGAGCTTTGGAAACAGTCCCTCGACCGTTCGTCAATTCCGTCGGGTGTCGGATAAGATCCCCGCCGACGCTTCATACCCCCCGCAGTATTCCTACACGGACGAAAATGCCAGTCCCAAGACGCTCTTCTCGGAGCCCAACAGCAAGGAAGCACAGCTGGGCCGTCGCGCATACAGCAAGGCGGTGGGACTTGCCTGTCAGGAGGTGTTGGGCACGACGGGAGATGACGAGAAGCGCGAGGCGATTTCCCGGCTGGCCGAGGCGTGGAGTGATCTGGAAATGATCGACCCCGAGGGTCTGTATCACATCGTGAGGGCGATGACGGAGCGACTGCAAGGGTAAGTGGCGATATTTCCTGCAGCGAATGGCAAGGGAAGCTGATGAAATGGCGGTTACTCTAGCGACCCCAAGCTGGCCAGCCTCGTCCCACCCGCTCCACCGGCCGAATCCCCACAGAGGCCGCGACTGGTTCTGGCACAAAACAACCCACATCTGAAAAGCCATCGGCGCCGCCAGAGTGCGGCAGTGGCCGAGCCCAACCTGCAGCCGGCGCAGCTGGCGAATCTCCCGGGCCAGCAAGTGCCGGGGATGGAGCACACGAAGCAGTTGTCGGATGTGCTCTATCAACGATGGTCGGAAGGCCTCCGCAACCGCTGGCCGGGGATCTAAACTCCCCCTTGTACCCTTGACGTTATTGACAGGTCCCTTGCGGCTCCCTGTCTTTTTTTTTTTTTGTGATTTGTTTTATTCTTATTATCTGTACAAAATCGGTTCCCGGGGCGTTTACATGTTGGGTCCATGGGCTTGTTGTATGCTGCACCTATTGATTTTATTTCTGCATAATTCCCCTCGCTTGGTACGGTTTTCTTGCTGCATTGGGCTCCGTGGGTTGGGGTCAACCTGGAGGCCAGGTGCTGGTCGAACTGGTGTGGCAGCGTGGCACAACCCGTGGGACTGGTTCGATGGCTCAGCTCCGAATCTGCGCGACGACTTTCATTTCTGATGCTTATATTTCGGGCGAGCATGTGTACTAAATTCTGTTCTGATAGATAGGTCTTTTACTGCTTTTCTTTTCTCTTGTTCTTTTGATGATGTGATAATTGTTGTTATTGTTGTTGTTTTGGATGGAAGGATAATCTTGGACAGTGTATGGACTTTGTGTGTGAACTATAGCTGGTGTTGGTGGAACTGAGGCGATCTGCGACCTGCATGTATTTGCTGCATGTATAGGTAACCACAATTCTATTATAAAAAATTTTAAATTTGAATCTCCTCCGTGATTGCATATTAGGAACAACATGATAGTCCAAAGTAATAACGGAAATACCAGCCGAGCAGGCCATCCAGACTCCGAGAAGACGGGTCGGGACGATACGAAGGTTTAAAAATAGGAGCAGTAATTTGGGAGATGAGAGAAGTGTGCGGGAAGTAAATACGTAGGGAGAAAGCAGTTGCAGGTAAATTGGCATCACGTTGGGGCTGTCAACCACATGAGAAGGGGGAGGATGATCCTCATTGATCATGCTATTTAAATGTTCCCCCTTGCGTGCATGTCTCCCCGCATCGTGCAGCAGGGAAAGATAATGAAATGTGATGGATGATCATGTAGATAGATAATCATATACGTACTATCTATACTGGGTATACACCTTTTTGCAGTGTCCATCCTCATCTAACTTCCGGGTTAGTAAATTTCCATGGACATCACCCATCACCCATCACCCCCTGAAAGAGAAAGAGAAGAGAGATGAGAGAAATGAGAGAAATGAGAACGCGGTGAAACGCAAGACTGCAGGCGGAAGGGATGCGCGTTGCGACCCGCTGGAGCCCATCCACTTCCCTCCTTCGCCCGCCAACTTGGTGGCTTTAGTGACCTTCACTAAGACCCGTTGGCTCTTAGCCCTTAGTAGCCATACTTTCGCTCCCTCGGCCAGACCTTTTCCTCTCGTGCTCGTGCTCTTCGCATTTTTATTTGATGGGATTTGATTACACTCCTTCTTCTCTTGGCCGTGTTGCTTCCCGGCCCCGTTTCTTCTATTTTTCCCTTCTTTCCCTTGCCCTGACTGACCTTCTTCTATTCTCTTTCTTCAATCTCCTCCTTTTCTGCCTCTTAAACGGCTACCATTTGTTTATGCGGCTGATTGGCCCCATACATTCTTTAGCTTTCTTATCAGCCAATTCCTCTCCCTCGTGCCCGCCCCCCCCCCCTGGAGCATTCATCTGACTGACTCCCGGGCCCCTGATCGATTGTTTCTATCCTTCCTGCCGGGCTCTCCAGGGTTTTGCCATGATTCTGTCGCTTCAGCTTCTGTAACCAACTCCCCAGGCCTGTCTGATCAACGAAGTTTCCATCCTCAGCACGCTGGTCCGTCATGGGGGATTCCCCGGGAACGGGCAGGGCGGGAATGGCTCCGGAAACGTCCCAGACATTGCTGCAGCTGTCGTCGCCCGACCACCTCACCCACCACCACCCAAACCCTCCTACTGAGCATGATCGAACTACCCTTCAGTCGAAGCGATCCTCTCTACCAGCACGTCCAAATGGTGCTGCTCGACACGCCAAACGACTGACCTTGAACTTCCCCATCAACATCCCGCCGCCCGCCACCGTCGACCCTAGTGCGAGTGTTGCCTCCCCTGGATCCATGACGCCCGTGACTCGTTCCTCCGCCTACCCCTCGCCGATCCCCCATCTGGGAGCTCCCCTGGCCTTTGACGAACAAGATGATGGCTCCGGACTGTTGACCGCTATCGCCTCGCAGGAAAGAAGAGTGCTGGAGCTGCGGGAGGAGCTCCATCGTGCGGAGACTGAGCTGGACTCGTTGAAGAAGCAGTGGGCCTCGTCCGAGAGGACCAAGAAGCGAGCGGAGATCAGCTATCGGGCAGAGCCTTTGATCCCGCTGCGATCCCCCGATCAGACTCCGGAGCGCTCGCATCGTCGTGACCCCAGTCTGAGCGGCTCCGCGAGCCCCTCGCTGGCGCACGCACGACTCAGCCGGGAGCTGGATCGCCGCCACAGTCTGCGCGCAGCTGCAACCCAAGGCACGACCGTCTCAGCTAATGGACGACGGGTGTTCCGAGGCTCTCACACTCGAACCCTGTCCTTGCTGTCGCCGGTGTCTGTTTCTGGGGACGGCAGGGCCGCATCGGAGTCGGAGACTAATTCTGTGAATGGTCGTATCGGCCGGTCTCCCCGGTCAGCTACTCTGCCGTCGTCTGTTGAGCGCAGTGCAGGTTCCGGCGACTCCTCCAAGCCCACCGAGGATATGATCGCGCAGTGGCGAAACACCATGCCTCCTCCATCTCGCGAGGCGCTGATGCGCACCGGCAAGCAGATGGCGTCCGACTTGCGCGAGGGACTCTGGACATTCTTGGAGGATATCCGACAAGCGACCGTGGGGGAAGAGGGCATCAGTGCGACCGAATCCCGGGGCGTACCTCCCGTACGCAAGCGGGATTCATCCAGCTCGACATCGCGAAGCAGAGACCGGTTATCCATGCAGGGGGGCAGAACGTCACGCGCGGGGACGAATTATTCTGGTAAAGACTCCAACTCGGCGGACATTGACGCGTCGTTCTGGAGTGAATTCGGCATTGATACAGCTGGGCAGAAGTCCCGGAGCGCTCGCGGAGCCTCCAGTACCCCAAGCGGGCGGATCGAACAGGGCGACTCCCACATCCCCGATGTTGAAGACAACTGGGAGTGGGACTCGCCGAAGAAGACACACACGCCGTCGTCCAGCCGCTCCACGTTGGAGTCGAAGCAGGACCAGTCGCCGATGACGCAGAGCAGCAGTCCACGTACAAGTACCAGGTAGGTCTTAACCAGTGTTTATATCTTTCGTAGGCATCTGTCCTCGTCTTGGCCTTTTACAGTGATACGCTGACTGGCACTAGTTTTGGCGACTGGCGCGCCCTGCACGAGTCCATTGTTCCCGATCCCAGCGTATCTGACGGTATCCCTTGGCCAGCCATCACCAAGCTGGCGCCCTCGAAGTTGACCCGGACTGCGTCCAACCTGATGGCCGAATGGGAGCGAAGTCTCTCCCCCGAACGGAAGGAACCCTATTCGCCGATTGACAAGGACGACAAGCGTGACTGATTGCTCGATCACTTTGAATGTGCCGTTCGATTACGGCTTTTGATTTATTCTTCCCATGCTATTGTAAATATGGACACGATATGTGCGACCAAGCAGAGACCGACGGATTAACGCAGGGTTATGAATGTTGCAATACCCTTTACGATGAGCGTTGATTTCACTCTTTACCTTCTTGCAATGTTTTAGAATGTATTTATGTCAGAATGTACTGGCTGTAAAAACAGTTATTTATTGCCTAGATTCAGATATCTTGCTCTGTATTAGTAGGGGTAGTAGATAGTATCCGTATAGTATCGTGAAATCCCGGGATATCACGTGACACTGCAACTCTGGCACCTCCCGCGTCCCGTAAAAATAAATTTGCGCCCGTCGCCATCTCCGCAAAAAGTCCGGGGGATGCGATAATCGGCCGTCTGTCTACACCTCTCACTACCACCGTGTCGCGGAGCTCCTCCACCACTCCAGCCTCCATATCAACCCTTCTCGAGCTCCACCACATACCTCAGACACTAAAACAACATACACAATGAACCCCGCTGGCATGACCACGCCGATGGGCGGCCTCGGCGGCGCCCCCGGCGCAGCAGGACCCAACATGCAGGGTATGAGCGAGCAAGAACAAGCCATGGTGAAGATGGTACACTTCCCCCTACCCCTTACCCTCTCCCTCCTACATCAGAAAACCAAGCTAACACAATGACAATGATGGTAGATGTACTCCGCCATGGAATCCTGCCCCATGAAGACCGTCATGGCCGGAACAATGGGTTTCGGTCTGGGTGGTGTATTCGGTTTGTTCATGGCTAGCGTACGCCTGTCCCCATACCTATACCCTTCCATCTTCCAAAATCAAACTAAACTAAACTAATAAATACATGGTATATGTGTAGATGTCCTACGACTCCACCTTCACCCCGCAAGGCAAAGCGATCGCCGACCTCCCCTGGAAAGAGCAAGTGCGGAGGGGATTCAAAGACATGGGCCAGCGGTCGTGGTCTAGCGCGAAGAACTTCGGTGTCGTGGGTGCGCTGTACTCCGGCACTGAGTGCTGTATTGAGGGCTTGCGGGCCAAGAATGATCTTACGAATTCGGTCGCTGCGGGTTGCATTACCGGTGGGATTCTCGGTGCGAAGGCTGGTCCCCAGGCTGCGGCGGCGGGGTGTGCGGGTTTTGCGGCGTTCAGTGCGGCGATTGATGCTTATATGAGGATGCCGGAGAAGGATGATTGAGTTATTTCCCGAGTCTTCTTCGATGGAGAGAATGGGAGAGGTGGGGAAGAAAGGGAGGGTGTAATGTGGGTTGTGTTTGTTTTCATGGGTGGCGTTTGGGTTGGGTGCATTTTATGGCGTTTACTTTATTTCTATCTTGGATGATGTTGACTGATGTTGATAGACTTCATGGTTTGAGGTATGTGGGTTGTGGGAGAGGGGTGGGGATGATGGATGGATGGATGGTCTTGACTCGACTCATTGTATATTATTACTACTGTGTACAGATAGAATAGATCTCTTTGCAGCGGTGTTACTACTCGTATAGTAGTGGACTGGTAAATGCAGCGACTAACCACTAATTATATTCTCAAATAGTA